ACAGACACCTCTCTAATACTGATACCTCTCTAATACAGACACCTCTCTAATACAGACACCTCTCTAATACAGACACCTCTCTAATACAGACACCTCTCTAATACTGACACCTCTCTAATACTGACACCTCTCTAATACTGACACCTCTCTAATACTGACACCTCTCTAATACAGACACCTCTCTAATACAGACACCTCTCTAATACAGACACCTCTCTAATACCGACACCTCTCTAATACAGACACCTCTCTAATACAGACTCCTCTCTAATACAGACACCTCTCTAATACAGACACCTCTCTAATACAGACTCCTCTCTAATACAGACTCCTCTCTAATACAGACTCCTCTCTAATACAGACACCTCTCTAATACAGACACCTTTCTAATACAGACACCTCTCTAATACTGACACCTCTCTAATACAGACACCTCTCTAATACAGACACCTCTCTAATACAGACACCTCTCTCAGGCCTTAAAATATCTTTTACAGGGCCGTCTGACAAAATGTCCGGTGACGTTGAGTTTGGGTCGGACATATGTCCGATGACCTTCAGTTCAGTTTTGACTCGGAAATAAGTCTGAATGACACAAATGAATAAACGGTAAATGTTGTAAAGATATTAAATAATTTGCTTCTTTCATACTTATTTCCAAGCCAAAATTAACTTGCTTTCCAGAACAGCAGTATTAAAAAAGACTTCGACAACTTAAGCCAGTTTTCCACTTCACCATTTTGCTCGCCGCCCCGCGTTCGTCTATGTTAAAACAACATTTCCAGTTGACCTTTTATACAATAGTACTCTGATTTTCCATTTAACATACAAACCTCTAGTCCTGGGCTAGGGTGTATTTTGATTTACGTCGGACAAAGCTACAGTTCGGTCGGACACCAATACACTCGGGTCGGACAAACAATAAACCTCAGTTTCACTTTGGTCGGACAGAATGTCCGGTGGTTTCCTTTCTACGTCGGACAATTTCACGAATGGGTCGGACAATGTCCGTGACCGACCGATATTTTAAGGCCTGCTCTCTAATACAGACACCTCTCTAATACAGACACATCTCTAATACAGACACCTCTCTAATACAGACACCTCTCTAATACAGACACCCCTCTAATACAGACACCTCTCTAATACAGACACCTCTAATACAGAGACACCTCTCTAATACAGGCACCTCCCTTTAACAATTGCCTCTATAAAACAAACCCTTTTTATATGGGACAGCTTCCTATGTATTTTTGGTATTGATATTAGTGAAGTACAAGTGTATTGATCATGCTGAAGTTTCTACCACTGTTATAATATTAAATTATTGAATGTAATAGAGGTGAAAATCTTTTCTAATTTGAAATATTACATTTAGGACACCTTTCACGATTCAACGTTTGTGTGAACTGATCACTGAACCAAAAAAGTATTACAAGACAACAGACAAATTTTTGAGAGGAGTTGAAAAGGTACATTTCAAGATATCTTTGATAATTATTAAAGGAATACCAAATGATTTTCCGTGCAGGATTGGAAGGGATGTGGCGAGACTTTCGGAAAGCGTAAAAATACTCGAGCCACAGGCGAGTGTATTTTTATGCTGTCCGAAAGTCGAGCAACATCCCAAGTGCATGGATCATGCTATCCTGCTTGGAAAACCATTTGGTAATTGTTTTATAAAATAACAACAGTGAAACAATGACATTTTGAGAATCCCGCAAAAATCCTGTGAAGGCATTTTAATTCCTCATGCAGGATAGCCTGATCCTGCACGGCTCTTGACCAATCAAATTGCGTGTTTCACTGTAGTTATTATTATGATGTGTTGAATATTGTCTTTATTAAAATCTTTTGTGAAATTAACTTTGAAACAAATGATAGCAATATTAATTTTATTACAACGAAGTCTCAATGCTTCTTGCATCATTTTCAAGTTAAAGATAAGAATTATTCGTGTTTTGCTTTAATTATAACGGTCCGCGTGTTCGTGTCACATAAAGAAATACTGCGATTTCCAGTTGAGTATGGAATTGCGAAAGTTTGTTTGTCAAGTTTTGTCGTTAGAAACTTTATTTCGTTTTGTAATGATTGACAGTTTTTAACGGTTTTTACTTGACAACATTGTCTGCTCGCCTGGTAACATTATAGAATGACGTCACAAACATTGTTTTCAAACGACAAAAGTTAACGAACAAACTCTACGAACAAACCTTCGTAATTCCATACTCAAGTGGAAATCGCAGTAATTGCGCAAGCATGCAGAATTTTTACTAAATGTGCAAGACAAAAAATACTAAAATATTTTTTAAAAAACATTTAACTATTTACACATAAGACAAACACGACAAACAAGATTAATTAACAAATTAATATTAGGCAAAAAGCTTAGAATTATCGAGTCAGACTGAGTGTTCAAAGATGGTTTCAGTTCCCTAATGTAAAGCATCTCGTAGAGAAGGCACTCATACTTCCCTCAACACTTGCGCAGAATCGAAAAGCAATTTTCAAAGTTTTCAATCCTTGATGTGCTCTCTCCATGTTGATCACACATATGGATTCCTACCACTGATTCCCTATGTTCATCAATGCGTTGATGTAGGTGTCGACAATTAAGTATAGCCAGAACATAATCTGCATCGCACAGATCACATTCAGGGTTCTCCATAGTTGTGAGTGGGACAGGTAAAACAGGTTTTTCAACAGGTATAAGCATCAAGTCGCACCTATACAAACCTCTAGGGGGTCTGGGGTATACCAACGGAAAATTTTGAAATCTGAAATGGCATTTCCTGCATTTTGAGGGAAGATTTAAACTTTTATAGAATACTAAAGATTATATTCTAAACACACGCCAATTTAATTACTCAGTCCTCAGGCCCACGCTGGGTTGATAATATAATCATTCCGCCAAAAAATTTTGTTCACAGATCGGGTTTATAGGATATTTCTGTATTCAATCTATCGATGCTAAATAATTAATATTGTGGAATTTCAGCAATACTTGATTGATTAATTGATTAAAGGAATACTGAATGGTTTTCCGTGCAGGATTGTGTGATCCATGCACGAGGGATGTCGCGAGACTTTCGGAAAGCGTAAAAATACTCGAGCTGCAGGCGAGTGTATTTTGACACTTTTCCAAAAGTCGAGCAACATCCCAAGTGCATGGATCACGCTATCCTGCTTGGAAAACCATTTGGTAATTGTTTTATAAAATAACTGCAGTGAAACTATGACATTTTGAAAATCCCGCGAAGGCATTATAATTCCTCGTGCAGGATAGCCTGATCCTGCACGACTATTGACCAATAAAATTGCGTGTTTTACTGTAGTTATTATATAAAGGATTTTCTCACACCTTATTACTAATTATTTCTTGACAAATGTACACAAACGTATATTTAACTTGGGCTTCTCCAGGCGGTAATCAGTGCTCGTGGAAACGGTAAATTTTACCGGTTACCGCCTGATAAGGAGAACCCTGCACATTTAAATTTGTAAACAGTGCAGTGATGATTCACAAGGGGCGGCTTCAGTTCCTGTATCTTGACATCATCATGAACCTTTCTGCTTGTGAACACCAGTCTTATATATAGCTTTCCCTATCAACGATCCAAGACCTGTGAGTTGTCTTTGCACAATATCGGCCGATTTTTTTATCTTTAAACGGCAAGATAAGGCACACCACGTTTTCTTGCTGTTTTGTTGATGTTCCCTTCACCTCCTCCTTGAAAATGATGCAAGCAGCATCTAAACGTCATTGTAATAAAATAAAATTGAATATTTTCTTAATTGAAATTCTTATTATTCTTGCAGAATATTATGGTCGTCAGTACAGTACAACCAGATGGCTCTCTCATTACAAGGTAATATTAAATATCACATGAAGAGTATTCAAAATCTGTTCTTGTTCAGGGATGCACTGGTGGGTGGGTGGGGGGGGGGGGGCAGAGCAAGGAATAACTGAATTCCTTTGTGATGTATTGCAACATGCTTGCTTTCCAATTACTATGTTGTTATACAGCAAAATTATATATAAAGTGATCAACTTTCAAGCAGTGGTATTTACAAATTTTTAATTAATTGAGTGGCAGCACTCTTCCCCTGATGATTAAAATCGTCTGTCATTAGACAGAGTAAAATAATCTGGTATTAGACAAAGTAAAATAATAAAGGGTGCGTCGCCAATTAAAGGGTTAATACTTAACAGAGTGTTGATTAACAGTCAATGGACTGGCAGCACTCTCCCCCTGACAAGTAAAATCATCGGGTGTTAGACAGAGTAAATAATAAAGTAGGGCGCATTGCCACTTAAAGGTTAATAATTTCCAAAAGTCAACTTTAGATTTGAATCGAGTATAGACGTGTTTCTCTAGTTAAAATATTTATTTTTTACAAGCTTTTGATGGGTAGATTATAAATTATAATATTATTATAATCTACCTGTTATAATCTACCCGTTGAAGACTGTAGACTGACAGTTGAAAGCTTGTAAAAAATAAATATTTTAACCAGAGAACGTCTATACTCAATATGAATAATTCTGGTTTCGCATCAAACATATTTAAATTTAGATTTGAAGTTAGTTATCTCTAACCTTAACAGCTTAACTACTTTATTATTTTATTCCATCTAATGCCAGACTAATTTACTCTGTCTAATAACAGACAATTTACTTGTCAATGGGAGATCACTGGTTTTCCATGGGTTAAACTCCACATCTTTAAAATATCAACATTCAAAGTTAATGTGCATAAACATTTTTTTGACAGGTCAATATCAACACCACTTACAAATGGTGACTTATCTCCAACGAAGACAAACACCGAATCTCAGAACCTCACCCCCCTGAACAACTCTCCACTAAATACCATTACTCAGGATCAGTCTGCAATTACAGCAACCACTGCTGAAGTTACATCAGAAGAAAAAACTGAGTCGCAAGCCATTGAACAAAATTCTGTTGACAGTAACACTTCAATAAATATAACACAAGGCAATGAAAGTGAACAAGAACAATCGCATGTTGCTAGAGACATTGTACAATGCTCAGATAATGGGGAAAATGTTTTAAAAGTTGATGAAAATTCAGAGCATACATCAGCCACAGATAATGTACAAAATTGTAAAGAAAATGGTACAACTGACAATGATGCAATCGAGAAAGAGGAGATTGTTACAAAGAGTGAAACACCAACAGGTCAGTTGAAAAGGTTATAAAATAGAAAATTTTACTCATCAAGGGGAGAGTGCTCTCAATGGTTTAACCCTATATGGCAATGCGCCCTGCTTTATCATTTTACTCTGTCTAATGCCATACAATTTTACTCGTCAGGGGGAGAGTGCTGCCACTCAATGGGTTAGAGCAAACTAAAACATGGGACTTAAGGTGAATTTTTTTGACAATTTTCAAAAATCACTCATGCCTTCCCTCCCATGGTATTAGAACAGTGCCTAAATGTATCTCTAAACTGTTGTCTCTAGAGGTCAAATACAGGTCTTCTTAAATTATTGTTTCAACACTTTATTTTATGACCTGCACACAATGGCATGTAGGGGGAGGGCTGGGAGGGGGCCAACCACCACCTGCTAATAACTTTACAATGGCATGTGGGAAGGAGGGCAGGGAGGGGGCCAATCACTACCTTCTAATAACTTTGTAAAGGCATGTGGGGGAAGGGCAGGGAGGGGGCCAATCACTACCTTCTAATAAC